AGATAATATAAAAAATTTTAACATTAAATAAAAAATATAACTATAAAATACATTAACATTCAAATTACTAGAAACATGATAAAATACACAAATTATAAGCAAGTTCTTATACTCATTTACAATTGTAAAGATTGAAAAGATTTGAAAATTCTTCTTGACTACATCACTAGAGGTATCAAGGATAATAAAAAATAACTTTAAATTTTAAATACAGTGTAAGTAATTCTTAAGGAAAATGATTTGTGCACACCCGGGTCAACACCCGGGTGTGCACACTTCCTATTGAAAAAAAAAAAAACCCATAACTACCCGGTTCAAATTATTTTTTATGTGGAGGTGCACACCCGGGTGTTGGTTCCGGATGTGCACCAATCAAGGTCCAATTCTTAAATATTAAAATTGATTTTTTTCCTTAATGTAACAAATGATTCAATCACATCTTCCAAACCTTATTAAAAGCAATTAAAATTTAACATAAATGTCATTAGAAATTATTAGAAGTATTCATAATTAAAATTTAAAACTTCTTAACTAAAATTCCACTTCTTAACTAAAATCCAAAAATAGTAGAATATCAAAATTAGTTCTATTATATAGTTTTAAAACTTCTAAAATGATATTTCTTAAAATTTAGTTAGGAAAATAAGAATACTATTTTAAAAATAAATTAAAAATTTAGAGTTCTCAAAATAGAGTCCTCAAAATAGAGTCATAGAATAGTTACAAAAGAGAGAGTTGTAAGTGAATTGAAAATTTAGAATTAAGATTAAAGTGCACAATTATCATGTAATCGAATTTTATTTTGTAACTGGGCGGTTTAGACAGTTTGAAAGTAAAACTACAAATCAAATCAATTATATCGGTTTTAAAATTTTATAATCCAAACCAATCCAATTTTATATCGGTTTGATTCAATTTTTTATTAGATTAGATTAGTTTAGGTCAGATCAATTGGATTGGATTGGATTGAATGTGAACACTACTAATATGAATGTTCTATAATGCAACCAATTTAATTAGGCCCCATTGTCTACAAATGGGTAGCCGATAAAAAATTATGGTAATTAATCTTGACCAATTCAATTACGTATCAATGGAGTGTTGGTGTTGTGGAAGAAACATTAGCATGTTGTTGCGTGACTCATAAATTACCATAAGAAATTAATAAGTAAAGGCTTGGAAGTCAAATTTCATACACTGTTTTTTCTTCACTATCTTAGCATAAATAGATTTAAATTAAGAATGTGATGCTTAAAAGTTTTGAATTTATCACTTAAGTACATGTATTATGATTTTAAAGAAATAAGTTTGAATGTCCTTACCCCAACATAATACTGAGCGTTTTGCAGGAAATTTTGCATTCAACTAAGCCCTTAATATTTTGTAACAATGAAGAAGCTATTTTATCTTATTGCATTTCTAAATTATTACTAGTTTGTCACAAAATTATTAAATTTTGAAATTTAAAATTTTAGTTTCACTCTGAAAGATCATATATGCAACCTATAATACTTTTTTTAGGTATTTAAAAGTCAACTAAATATCGTAAAATCATTAAACTTTGAAATTTAAAATTTTAGTATAACTTTAAAAGTTCATATATACAACTTGTAGCACTATTTTTAGGTATATAAGAATCAATTGAATCTCATAAAATTATTAAATCATGAAATTTAAAATTTTAATATAACTTTGAAATATTTTATACGCAACTTATAATACTTTTTTTAGATATCTAACAATTAATCAAATCTCATAAAATCACTAACCTTTCAAATTGAAAATTTTGGTATCACTTTAAAATATTATATATGCAACTTATAACTTTTTTTTTTTTGGAAAATGTTATTGAGACAACCATTTTATCCCATTTTCTTATATAATATGACGTGTTATTAAAATAATTAATTTTTTTAGTTCATATGAGATTTGTGATATTGAATGCATCCACTTATTTAATAACATATACAAATTGTACAAAACAATGAAACAAAAAAGTTATCCCAATAGTACCATCTTTTTTTTTAGATCTAACAAGTAACAATCAACTATTTTGCGCAATTAAAAAAATTCTAATTACTATTTGGGTAAGGTTATGAGAATCAGATAAACTCTTTGATCTGATCATTCATGCCAGATCGAAATGATATCATTGAGGAAAATACACTTGACCGGTTATCCTTAGAAGTAAAATATTTTGGAATATAATATAAATACCAAATTGACGTTAGTCAATTTGAAATTTAAAATTTTAGTATGATTTTGAAACATCATATATACAACTTATAATATTTTTTTATGTATATAAGAATCAATTGAATCTTATAAAATTATTAAATTATAAAATTTAAAATTTTAATATGACTTTAAAACATTTTATATGTAACTTATAATACTTTTTTTAGATATCTAATAATTAGTCAAGTCTCATAAAATCATTAAACTTTCAACTTTAAAATTTTAGTATTACTTTAAAATATTATATATGCAACCTATAACATTTTTTTTAGGTATCTTGATAAGTAACAATCAAGTATTTTTGGGCAATTAAAAAGATTCCAATTACTATTTTGGGCAAAGTTATGGGAATCAGATAATCTCTTCGATCTTATCATTCATGCCAGATCGAAATGATATCATTGAGGAAAATACACTTGACCGGTTAGCCTTAGAAATAAAACATTTCGGAATATAATATAAATACCAAATTGATATTAGTCAATTTGAAATTTAAAATTTTAGTATGACTTTAAAAGGCCATATATACAATTTATAACACTTTTTTTTACGCATATAAGAATTAATTAAATCTCATAAATTTATTAAATCATGAAATTTAAAATTTTAATATGATTTTGAAACATTTTATACACGACTTATAATATTTTTTTAGATATCTAGCAATTAATCAAATTTCATAAAATCATTAAACTTTCAAATTTAAAATTTTAGTATCACTTTAAAATATTATATATATAACCTATAACATTTTTTGTAGGTATCTAACAAGTAACAATCAATTATAATGGGTAATTAAAAAAACTTTAATTACACTAACAACTTAAATAATTCAGTAATCATTTCTTTTTGTTAAAAATAAGAGATTTTGATTTTGAGTCGTATGGTATACAGGTGAGGTGAGATAAAAAATAAGATAACAGATGAAAGATGAGAGATAATTACCTCCCATTTTACAATCAAAATAATAAAAAAAAAAAAAACTCCGATTACTATTTTGGGTATAATTATGAGAATCAGATAAGACGAATGCTAAATGCAGTCGCTTTTTTTGGCACTCTCTCATGGAAAATAACCACGTGAACTTTTTAACTGAAAACTTTGAATTGCGAACCAACGATTACTACGTGGCCATTTTATAGAGAGTGTTGGAGAGTGCAAGAGAAGGGCGACTGCACGTAGCA